GCGTCACATTACCTTGAGACGTATATTTTTTTATTGTGCCTACTTGGGACCCCTTTAGCCCACTACTATTAACATTTTTATTCTTCATCTCTTCTGTGGGTTTTATTCAGTTAAATACAGGAACCACCTTGGTTTAACAGCTACAGACCAGGTATCTAGATTTCAACACGTACTTATTTTCTACTTTCCCACTATGCTCTCCTTCTTCTTCCAGGGCTGCTAGTTCCTCTTATATTCAATCTTCCCCAGGGAGTCTACCCCTCTTTAAACATACAGTCACCATATAATCACAGTTTGCTAGATCGTGCTGCTCACACTCACCCTCTGGTTGCTTTTCTTCTGGTGAGGCAGCCACGAGCCACCAGCTGCTAGCTTCAGCTTCCCACTGCTCTCTTCAGGGGGACTCCTCTGGGTCTTCTTCTTCAGACCCTACTCCCCTGTGTATAAACTTAACACACACGGGGAGCAGGTCATCCATTAAACAAGTGGTTTCTCCTGTATGTTGCAAGGGGGGAGCGAGCCGGCGTCCTCACTCTCACTTCAGATGCCGGCCGGCTTTCTCCCCTTCCCAGTAGTGCTCTGCGGTTTCCCACGTGTCTGCTCCGTGACTCCCCGCTCTCCCAGCAGCCCCGCACATCAGTCCGGACCTCCTGCAGCAAGCCCCGCCGCCCAGCACACCTTCCTCTCTCCACTCCCGGGCCGCCGGACCCGCTCTAGAGCCGTCGCTCGTGGGTAAGTCCCCGGGTCACTCTTGTGCAGGCATCTGGGATGGTGTAGGTGATTCGGAGAGCACCTGCTCCGTGCTCTCCTACGCCGCCATGACAAGGCTCCTCCCCTCTAAAACAACAACAGTACAATTAGTCTGTATATGCAGTAAAGCATGCTTGTTATGCTCACTGAGAAACTTGAAGGGTTCATCCTCTGTATTGCGTAAAAAGGCTGGTTTATTCCTGTCTTCTCTGACCCTTCTCTTTCTTTTACTGTCCCCAATCCAGCTGCCATAGTACAAAGCAGCAGTGGCAAATCTGCACAAGCTCTCTTTGGTGTGTGTTGCTAGAGAGGTTTTTTTTGTTTTGTTTTTTTTTTTTTTTGGGGAGGGTGCATGTGAGAAAAGGTATTTAGCAGGTTATATTTACTAAAATAATTGCATTTCCATGTTCTGTGTACTGTGGAAGACCTGATATAGTAAATGCAGGGTTCAGGGTCTAGACAGAGGGTCAGGGGTCATGCAGCCTCATAGGACAGTCAGAGGAGAATAAAAACTCCTCCTACAAGATTAACTAGTGCTTGGCTGGGCACTGATAGAAGTCACAAGACTGCCATTTACTGCTAATGAGAAAAGGTATGTTGCAGTTTATTTTCACAAAATAATTGCATTTCCATGTTTTGTGTACTGTGACCTGATATAGTGAATGCAGGGTCCTGGGTTTACTAATATTTTAAGGGAGGATATGATCAACATGTATAAATACATAGGTGGTGGTGTATTTAGTGAATTTGGTGCAGAGTTTTTCAGGGCCATTACAAAGGACATTTTCCAATATAAAAAAAAAAAGCTGTATGTATTCCTAAATGTACAAACTGGAAACTAACATTTATAGTGAATAATACCAGGGTACTTGATCCACTTGCCTCCTGGGGGATCAGGAAGGAATTACCTCCCTGGAGTAAGTTGGATCATGTTTTATTTGGGTTTTTGCCTTCCCCTGCATCAACTGTGGGTTTAGGACTGCACATTTTCTATTTGTTTATTTTCTATTGCTCAAACTAGATGCATTTGTGTCTTTTTTCAATGACTATGTACGTGTTGCCAACAGAACAAGAGCTGAGGGTTAATTTTCCAATGGGAATGCAAAACATAACCTGATAGGTGACCATTTTCAGGTCATTCTCCTCACCAGTATTAAAGGTAAAGGAAATGATTATTGCTCTATGGTTTTATTTGCAGGAAAATGTGTTCCTGTTTATCCCTTGATCCCCCACCAAGCGTTGTAATATACTTCACTTACTGGACCTCACACAGCTAGGCAGTATCACTCTCTGGGGAATCTCAGAAACACTGTCTCCTAGTGTGTGCAGTGTGAGTAGAACTCTGCCCTTTTTGTTCCTTGTATCTGCAGATCCTTTGTTATCTCCCAGCAATAAATGACTCAGCAAGCAAGGAAGACAGCACAAAAGAGCTTCCGCATGCAGTGTATTTATTAAAGCATTAAATGCATTTTAAAGACAACATAGGTAACGGTCATAACCCAGTGTGTCAAAGCAGCTCATGTTCAAGACTAAATGACAAAATTAGGCCACTTACTTTGTTAAAACGTTATTCCCCACATTATCACTAATATTTTTATTGTTATTAAATGTTTGTTTTTTTTAAATTAGAATTTCTGCATGTAAGGAACAGCAAGGACCCTACAGTGGGTGTACTTGGGAATACGTCACACCCATTTCAAACAGGTAAGCAAAATCATTTTCCAGATCATCACATTACTGACAAAAGGTAGTGAAATAGCATGCTAGTGAGTGGGTGAAAAACTGATAACCAAACAAGTAGTTTATTCTTTCTGTATGCATTTCAAAAATGAAAGTGCTATTAAACTAAAAAAAAAAATCTATTATATTGTATCTTGCATATCCCACAATCCCTGGGTCTCTTAACCTAGTGTTGGTTCAGGTGAGAGCTAATTTAATCTGCCAGGCACAGACAGGATGAGCATTAAGCACTGGTTCACACCGGATCCGACTTTGAAACCGTGTAACTTCACTTGAAGTTGCACAATTTCAAAGTTGAATGTCAGTGTTACTTCAGGTGCAACTTGGAAGACATCTGTGCGACTTCATGCACAGATGTCTATGCAAATCGCACCTAAAACTGCAAAAAGTAGTGCAGGAACCACTTTCAAAATTGGTGCGACTGACGGAGTTGAGTTGCACCGATTTGAACGGTTCCATTGCGGACAATAGGGTGCAAATTAACATGCGATTTCAAATTTGTGAAAATGCATAACAAGTCATATCATTGTGAAACCTCCAGGCATACATGCCCTTAAAGTGATCCTAAACATAGAAGTGTTAATTGCCATAATTCATTCACATACAGTGCATTCTAAAAGTATTCAGACCCCCTTCTCCCTTTTCAATTTTATGTTGCAGCCTGATACTATAGTTGTTTACATTTATTTTTCTCATTAATCTACACTCAGTACTCTATAATGACAATGTGAAAACAGAATTTTATAAATGTTTGCAAATGTATGAAAAAGGAAAAACTGAAATATCACATTGTCATAAGTATTCAGACCCTTTGCAACAACATTTGAAATGTGGCTCAAGTGCCTCCCATTTTTCATGATCATTGCTGAGATGTTTCTACACCTTGATTGGAGTCCACCTGTGGTAAATTAGATTGATTGCACATGCTTTGGAAAGGCACACACCTCTCTATAAAAGACCTCACAGCTGACAATGCATACTGTATCAGAGTAAAAGCTATGAGGTCAAAAGAATTGCCTGCAGAGTTCAGAGACAGGATTATTGGAAGGCTACAAAAAAAAAAAAAAAAAAAAAAAATCTTCTGCACTGAAGTTTCCCAAGATCACACTGGCCTCCATAATTCTCAAATGGAAGAAATTTGGCACAAACAGAACTCTAACAAGAGCTAGTGGCCCGGCTAAACTGAGCAATTGGGGGAGAAGTGCCTTAGTAAGAGAGGTGACCAGCAACCCAATGGTCACTCATGACTGAGCTCCAGAGATCCTGTGTGAAGATGGGACAGAGTTCCAGAAGGACAACCATCACTGCAGCCTTCCACTGATCTGGGCTTTATGGCAGAGTGGCTAGACAAGAGTCTTTCCTCTGTGCTTGGAGTTTGCAAGGCCTCTGTCTAGCCACTCTGCCATAAAGCCCAGATCAGTGGAGGGCCGCAGTGTTGGTTGTGTGGTTTTTTTTTTTGCATTATTATGGGGCAAGCCGAGTCAAAGAAGTTTTACACTAGCTTTTATTTTGTTCAGACAGCATCTGTTTCCAAGGTTTGTTTTTTACTTTACAGGTATTAGCAATTACATTTATTATATTTAGTACTGTATTATATTAACACCAAGTTCTTTTGTGAATTTCTTAGTGAATTTAATTAATCGGCACACTATATCCCACTTCTGTAGAGTTTACCAAAAGAGGGACATGGAGAAGGAGGGAGGGGAGTGTCATTTACCACTGTGTATACGCTGACATGTGTAACTCTCTACAGTTATGTGGCTTGCACTGATAAGAGAAAGGAGGATATTAAGAGCTTTATCAGGGAACTGAAACTGGGACATGCTCAGAAGAGGACACCAGCTAGTCTGCACAGTCTCAGGCTGCAATAGGAACACAGAGAAGATGAGAGGGACAGATGAAGGCAGGATATTTCACTCTACAGAAAACAAATGCCTTAGTGGTTTTGTGATTGTGCACTCTCTGTTATATACCATGTAATGAGAGTTTTTCATAGTCTGGATATAGTGATACTTTAATATATCCACTGCTATATATATATATATATATATATATATATATATATATATATATTATTTTTTTGTTTTGTTGTGTGTACCTTTCTGTAAAGGCCTGTCATAGATTGGGGTGGTTACCATGTTTGTTTAGTTGGCTAATAACATCCATACCAGAGTGACATTTTATATCAGACACACATTTTGTTATGAAATGTACTGCACTGTACACGAACCTCTCCATAGCACTTACTATATTATAATCACCCTCAGAACATCTATGTTATGTCTTGTATTTTATACTATGACATTCTTTGCAAACAAATCACAGTACACATTTCAGATTCATGTTTGTTTATTGCAAAACGGGCAAGTTTCCAGCATAACTAAGTCTTGCACGTCTGCTTCTGTTACATTTTTCTGTACATATTGAATTCTAATGTAAAACTATAATTGCATATCTTTTGCCAAACACTCCCAAACCCTAATATTTGAAATATTTATATATTTGTAGTTATGGCCCTTTCCATATGGAGATGCATGCTGAACAGCTCTGCAGCAAGATGCCATCTGCACAGATCCCTGTCTCTGTATAACAGCAGCCATGGTTTTAAAGAAGAAGAAATTAAAAATAAGCTAGCTCTGTTAACAGGAGGATCAGTGGCACTCATTAAAAGAGAAAATGGAATTGCAGAGCTGTGCATTGATAATCCAGCTCGAATGAATGCATTTACAGGTAGGAGGACTTAGTTCACAAATTATGAATGATGGATGCTCGCTCATTAATGTGGTTTGTCAGGCGTGATCTGCATATTAGTTTCACAAGTACAGATGGATAATTCTTTATGAAATATGCAAATTTGTAATTGTATGTATAGAGAGATGTTTTTGTGATTAATGTAAATGGGATGCAGCACACTATGTGTTTGAATACAAAATGACATGTTAATATGTACAGGTTACATAGCTACATAGTTAGTCTGGCTGAAAAAAGAAAAAAAGTCCATCCAGTTCAACCAAAAAAAAAGTTATAATCCTATACCCACAATTTCCAGAGGAAGGAAAAAAAACCCAGCAAAGCATGATCAAATTTGCTCCTGCAGGGGAAAAAAATTATTTCCTGTTCCCCCGAGAGGGAATTGGATATTTCCTGGATCAACTTTACCTATAAATGTTAGTATCCAGTTATAATGTGTGTCTAGCAAAAGCACCAAACAGAGCATGTGCAGATTTGCCACTGCTGCTTTGTACTATGGCAGCTGGATTGGGGACAGTAAAAGAAGGGGAGGATCAGAGAAGACAGGAATAAACCAGCCTTTTTACGCAATGCAGAAGGTGAAACCCTCAAGTTCCACAGTGAGCATAACAAGCATGCTTTACTGCATATACAGACTAATTTTACTGTTGTTGGTTTAGTAACACTTTAATAATCTCTACTCAAGAGAAAATAAATTCAGATCCTCTAATCGTTCCTCATAGCTGAGCTCCTCCATGTTTCTTATCAGTTTGGTTGCCCTTCTCTGTACTTTCTCCAGTTCCCCAATGTTCTTTTTGTGAATTGGTGCCCAAAACTGAACTGCATATTCCAGATGAGGTGTTACTAATGATTTGTACAGGGGAAATATTATATCTCTCTCACTGGAGTCTATACCTCTTTTAATACAAGAGAGGATTTTGCTCGCTTTAGAAACCGCAGCTTGGCATTGCATGCCATTATTAAGCTTGTGATCTACCAGAACTCCCAGATCCTTCTCCACCATTGATTCCCCCAGTTGTACCCCCCCCCAGTATGTATGATGCATGCATATTCTTAGCCCCCAAGTGCATAACCTTACATTTATCAACATTAAACCTCATTTGCCACATAGTTGCCCAATTATACAGTGCATTGAGGTCGGCTTGTAAATTGGAGACATCCTGTAAGGACGTTATTCCACTGCACAGCTTGGTGTCATCTGCAAAGACTGTAGTTGTATTTTTAATCCCAGACCCTATATCGTTTATAAATATATTTAAAAATTAAGGGTCCCAACACTGAATGGTCTAGGGTTGTTAGTGGTGTACCCCAAGGTTCAGAGTATGAATCATTAACCACTACTCTCTGAATACAATCTTTTAGCCAGTTTTCCATCCATTTACATACTGATTTTTCCAAGTCTGTAGACTGGGGTCAGCAACCTACTGATCGTGGTCTACCTGTCAATCGCGGGCAGGTGACGGGTAGACCGCAAACAGGCCCCCCCCCCCCCCCTTTCCCCTGCCTCCTCCACTGCTGTGACATTCTCAGTGCACAGCAGAGAGCAGAGAATGGAAGACAGCAAGGCTCAGGATGGATGACAGGAGGAGAAGCTGGCCAAATGAACTTTTCATATTAACCCACAGGTGATTGGTTGCTAGGACCGAACTAGCAACCAATCACCTGTGGTTTAATATGAAAAGTTCATTTGGCCAGCTCCTCCTTCCACCCTCCATCCTGAGCTTTGCTGTCCTCCACTCTCTGTTGTGCACTGACGATCACAACAGCAGCGGAGGAGGCTGGGGGAAAGGGGGGGGCAGAAGACATTGCTGGGGGGGGGGGGGAAGGATGTGCAGAGGACATTGCTATGGACAATAGCATTATCCTCTACCGTCCTTCACCTCCCCACCAGTATTATCTTATGGCCCCCTTACCCCCATAGCAGTGACCTTTAGCCCCCCTCCCCACCACCAGCAGTGTCCTACCTCCCCTTCCTTTCCCTCCCATAGATAGGTATTTTAGAAATCTGAATTCCCAACAAGTGGGTGGGGATTGGGATTTTTCTGTCCCCACCCTGGTGCCCTAAGGCAACTGCCTAAGCAGCCTTATGCTGGTGCCCAACATATGGCTGCTAGGGTAGCTGGGGTGCAGAAAAATCCCAATCCCCAGCCAATTGCTGGGAATTCAGATTTCTAAAATACCTGCCTTCCGACAATCCCCTTTGTTGTCCTTTCCTCCTCACCCTCCCACCAGCTTACAGCTACTGCGTACAGCTACTGCAGGAGGAACCTTGTTCCTCTTTATTTTCTGCTGCCTGGTCCTTCCCCCAACTACTCCCCTTTCAACAGGGCTCCTAAAGAAATTGTGAAAAATATTAAAAAAATAAAAATGTAAAAAAAAAAAAAAAAAACTATTGACACCATCCACTGCCCTACTGACACCAACCTCTGTCCTACTGATACTGTTCACTGCTCTACTGACACTGTCCGCTACTCTAGTGACTGACTCCAACCTCTGCCCTACTGACACCATCCACTGACACCATCCACTGCCCTACTGGCTGACACTGTCCATTTTAAGGTAGGCTTAGTTTGTATTTTTACAGTGACATTTGTTTTATTATATTTTTCCACATTTTCCTTGCTCTTTAGTTAGGCCTTACTAGTTTTTTTTTTTTTCTTTAAATGGCGCTGAACCTCTTTCATGTTGTTCAGGTAGATCCAAGGTTGCATACACCTGCTGTAGACTTCACCTTACACATCAGCTGTGTGTGGGGAACTGTGTCAAACGCTTTTGCAAAATCCAAGTATGCCACGTCCACAGCTACTTGTCTGTCCAAGGTTTTGCTCACCTCCTCATAAAAAGAAATCAGATTTGTTTGACAACGTCTATATTTCATGAATCCATGCTGTCTGTTGCTGTGTCCACAGGATACGGCCGATGACAGATCACTACACTGGCTCGCTGCCAGTGTAATGTGATAGCTGTGACCAATCATGTGTAAACAATAAATGGCTTCCTTAAATGCCATTCACTGCTTACAACTGTGCTGGGAGTTGTGATTGGTCAAAGTGATCACATGTACAGACTGGGCCAATCACAACCCTTGTAGCAGGTAACGTGATCAGCTATGGCCAATCACAGCTGATCAGAACAAAATCTACTGAATGAATCAATTTCATTCAGTAAAAAAATGATGTAAAAAAAGAAAAATAAAATCCTGATCACTTGCACAGAGTAGTACAATGTTACATGTTTTGCTCTGGTCACAGGAATAGTAAAAATAAATATATATAATTTTTTTTTTTTTTTACACATACTGTCACCAGTCGGTGTCCCTGATCACCGCCACACCAGTTATATGATGGCACTGTACTGCATTGGTGAAAGTATGAGGGAAAAAAAGAAAAATTTCTTATTTCTTCGTTTTCTACAAAATGACAAAAAGACAACTTCAATGAGCGAAAAGTGGTCATTTTGGAGGTATTTGTACTGCCCTGGCATTTTTTGGGTTTCAAAAAATTAGATCAGCCATCAGTACATCAGGATCATCATTTAAGTAACATAATGTATGCAAACCAGAACAAAAGTCCCACCTAAGGATCTGTCCACCATCAGCCTCCACAACAAACCATATGTCTATATCTGTTATATGCATCTCCAACCCTAGGCCATCAGCCGGTTCATTGAGTTTAGCCGCAACATTGCTGGGTCCAGACCTCAAGTGCACTGCCCATAAAGATTGCAGAGTTTATTTTGCTGTAATAATTTTTTTGCATTTTATGTTATTTATTAATTGGATCATTTTATGGTCCGTATTCACACTTGTACCTTTTGTATTTGCCCCTGCCCACTAAGGATTAGCATGTGGTATCAATTTCTGTTATTGGTTACCCTTCACAGACTAGGAAATAAGAATTAGTAATTGTTCGGAAGTGCACCTGTATATATTAACAGACTTGTCATTGTAATGCACAATTTCATGTACATGGAAAAACAAGTATTATCAAAATACTTTACCATTATTTTTATTATTACTTTAACCATTAGCTACACTTATCATATAGCAGGGCCATTGCTACAGCTGCTTTTTAAACTCAACCTTAAAAAATAAATTCACCTTTGGGAACATTTTTAGGGTGGAGCATGTAACATGTTCCCATAGCCGCCACCCCCCCCCCCCCCCCGACCGCACGGGAAGAAGTTTCCCCGTAATATCTGTCAAAACAGCAGGGCCATGGCCACACGGCCGAATAATTAAGTTCACGGACTTCCTTAGCGGCTGTCGGTTTGTAGTTTTCAGTGAACTACCATGGGGCTGTGGAGCGCTGTGGTAGTTCAATGAGGTTTCCTGTCATAATATCTGCTCTCTCGTACATACTGTATAGCAAGCAGATGTTCTGACAGGACCTGCATGACATCAGTGATCTACTGATCTCTGGTGCAATGCTTTCCAGGCTCCTGTATACAAAAATAATAAATGAACATGTTTTTACTAGCAAAAAAATGTGCATTTATTATTTTTTTCTAAAAGGTGAACTTCTCCTTTAAGCAAAATATATGATCCAAACCCAGAGAAAGATGAACTGGCATCTGTTCTGTAATAAAAGCTGTGCAATACGTTGGACTTATTTATGCATTATTAAGCTTCTGGGACTGTATATGCAGAGAAATGGCAAAACTAACAACCAGCTCCCAAAAATGAGCCAATGCACCCTTCACCTATATTGTGTATGATATACATATGGAGCACAGATATCATAAGCAGACGTTTCAGGTAATTTCTCAGCTGTTCTATGAGCTCCATAAACTTAGCAGGGTTTTAGAGATAACTTTGATTTTCCAGGGTTTTCCAAAGACTAGAAATTTTCAATTGAAAAATAAATATTGTTTTACCATGCAGTATAGCCTTGTTTTCAATAGATGTTTATGTACTGTCTTCTCCAGAGCTCTTTCTTGATTTTGGAACCAATATTGAATTTGTGTTGCAGGAACAATGATGATAGAATTATCAGAATGTGTTAGTGATCTGGAGAACTGGCAGGAAGGGAAAGGACTTATTGTTTATGGTGCAGAGAACACATTCTGTTCTGGTTCAGACTTAAATGCCGTTAAAGCTGTTACCAATCCACAGGTAAGTAATTGTACATGAGTGCTTTACTTTCTTACCATTCTGTATAATATTTCATACACAGATATGCACTATAGGTTAATTTGTTGCTGCATGATATCTGCAAGAAAAATAATTAAACAATAAGCCACTCAGTGATTAGGTTTGATTCACAAAGCAATTTGTCATAATGTTTGTTATTTTCAGCAGTGAGAGGCAATGGAAGCCAAAATTAACAGTCAAATGGCTGAGGCATTTTACACAGCAATTTATTTTCTGTAGCATTGATTTCTGTAAAGTCTATTTACTGGGTTGCACAAAAACAAGGTGTATTTAAGTTTGGTATACCATGATTTTTACATTTTAAGGCAACGAATAGGTTAATACAGGTGTGTCCAACCTTTTGACTTGACTTACCTGGGCCACTTTAGAAGAAGAGGAATTGTCTTGGGCCACACATAAATACACTAACGTTAAGGATAGCTGATGAGCAGTAAACGTCAGCTATCCTTATCGTTAGTGTATTTTATGTGTGGCCCAAAACAATTCTTTTTCTTCCATTGTGGCCCAGGAAATTCAAAAGGTTGGCCACCCCTGAGCAAAGAAGTGTCGTGCAGATCACTGATCTAGATAATGTACTTGTTTGAGTAATAAAACTACATTTTTTTTGTCATTTTTTTTTATTACAAAAGTAAGAGGACAACATAAAACGAGTGTGATATTTGACAGTGTTTTGGATAGTGGGGAGGATGTAGTAGCAATTCAGTCTAATATTCACTTTTCTTCCATTTTTTTAGAGGAACAACACAAATTTGATATATTTTTCTTCATGTTTTGATTTACAATAGAATGTGTAGTGTTCCCAATGCATTTGTGTGTATGAAAATAAAAGCTATTAGATGGATTTTGAGCTTTATTCACTATTCGCTATTATTTTGAACACAACTGTAGGTCCACATCAATCCTGATGAACTAGGGCCTCCCAAAAAAAAAAATCCAGCCGAACCCAATTGTATAACAGCACTCAATGACAGCTCCGCTAAAGGAAACAAAGGGGCGGGGTCGCCCAGACATATCCCTATATGGTCAATGTATATAGTGTGTGTGTGTGTGTGTATGTATGTATATGTGTGTGTGTGTGTGTGTGTGTATATATATATATATATATATATATATACATATATACATACATACCACCTGCCTGGAGTTTGCATGTTCTCCCTGTGCCTGCGTGGGTTTCCTCCGGGTACTCTGGTTTCCTCCGGGTACTCCTTTTTCCTCCTACACTCCGAAGACATGCTGGTAGGTGAATTGGATCCTGTCTAAATTGGCCCTAGTATGTGTATGTATGAATGTGAGTTAGGGACCTTAGATTGTACGCCCCTTGAGGGTTAGGGACTGATGTGAATGTACAATATATATGTAAAGCGCTGTGTAAAATTCACAGCGCTATATAAGTACCTGAAAAAAATAAATAAATATATATACATACACACACTATATTGCCAAAAGTATTGGGACACCTTTACACGCACATGAACTTTAACCAGTTGCCCTCCAGAGGATTTACCCCCCCTTCCTGACCAGGCCATTTTTTGCGTTATGGGGCTGCGTTACTTTAACTGACAATTGCGCGGTCATGCAATGCTGCACCCAAATTAAATTTACGTTCTTTTTTCCCTTGAATTGAGTGTTCATTTAGTGGTATTTGATTGCCTGTGCGGTTTTTATTTTTTGCACTATAAATAAATAATAATAAAAAAAAACAGTAATTTTGAGAAAAAAACAGTGTATTTTTGACTTTTTGCTATTAAACATGTCCAGTAAAATATATTCTGCTACATGTCTTTGCTAGAAAAAAAAAATCCCAAAACCTGTAAGTTAATTGGTTTACGTGAACGTTATAGCGTTTACACATGGCGGTATATATACTGGGATTTTTTTTTTTTTTCATTTTTACTAGTAATGGCGGCGATTAACGCTTATAGCGGGACATTCTGACACTGGGGGGAACTGACTTGGTGTCACTGACATCCCCAGTGACACCAATGCAGTGATCAGTGCTAATAAAAAGTATTGACACTGGACTAATGACACTGGGCAGGAAGGGGTTAACATGTGGGGCGATCAAAGGGTTAACTGTGTGCTGTGCACATCATGTCCTGTGTTAGTGCTTCACTGTAAGCACACTGCTTTGCATGCACGAGCTGAAAGGGAGGAGAACTGTTTTGTTTACTAACAGTTCACCCCTGGCCCCCACGTCGGAGATGCTCATCAATCACCGGGTGCTGACGAGTAATCACTGGCCAGGGTCCGGTCATTGACGGCCTCAAATGGTGGTGCAGGTAGGGCATGCGTGCGCCCTTTACCCGGAAACACACACACACACACTTTTGTGCACCTGTGCCACCCCTGTAGCAGTATATCTGCTTTAGGGTGGACGGGTAGTGGTTAATGGCATCCCAGTCTTAGTCCGTAGGGTTCAGTATTGAGTTGGCCCACCCTTTGCAGCTATAACAGCTTCAACTCTTCTGGGAAGGTTGTGCACAAGGTTTAGGAGTGTGTCTATGGGAATGTTTGACCATTCTTCCAGAAGCGCATTTGTGAGGTCAGCCACTGATGTCGGACACGAAGGCCTGGCTTGCAGTCTCCGCTTTAATTCATCCCAAAGGTGGCATCTGGTTTAGGTCAGGTCTCTGTGTAGGCCAGTCATGTTCTTCCACCCCAAACCCATCCATGTCTTTATGAACCTCGCTTTGTGCAATAGTGTGCAGTCATGTTGGAACAAAAAAGGCCCAAACTGTTCCCACAAAGTTGGGAGCATTAAATTGTCCAAAATGTCTTGGTATGCTGATGCCTTAAGAGTTCCCTTCACTGGAACTAAGGGGCCAAGCCCAACCCCTGAAAAACAACCCCACACCATAATCCCCCCTCCACCAAACTTTGCACTTTGCACAATGCAGTCAGGCAAGTACCGTTCTCCTGGCAACCGCCAAACCCGGACACCTCCAAACATTGCCAGACAGAGAACTGTGATTAGTCACGCCAAAGAACATGCTTAAACAGTGGCGGCATGCTTTACACCACTGCATCCAACTCTTTGCATTACACTTGGTGATGTAAGCCATGGATGCAGTTGCTCGGCCATGGAAACCCATTCCATGAAGCTCTCTATGCACTGTTGTTGTGCTAATCTGAAGGCCACATGAAGTTTGAAGGTCTTTAGCTATTGACTCTGCAGACAGTTGGCGACTTCTGCACACTGTGCGCTTTAGCATGCGCTGACCCCGCTCTGTTATTTTACATGGCTTACCATTTCGCGGCTGAGTTGCTGTTGTTCCCAGTTGCTTCCACTTTGTTATAATACCACTAACAGTTGACCGTGGAATATTTAGTAGCAAGAAAATTTCATGGACGGACTTCTTGCACACTTGAATTCACTGAGCACCTGGGAGTGACCCATTCTTTCACAAATGTTTGTAGAAGCAGTCTGCATGCCTAGGTGCTTTATTTTATACACCTGTGGCCATGGAGGTGATTGGAACACCTGAATACAATAATTTGGAGGGGTTTCCCAATATTGTATGTGTGTGTGTGGTCAGTTACTTCATAAGGTCATCATTTACCGGTACTTCAGCTGTGGGTTAGCAGAGCTGTCATTTGCGGCAGCGGTCGGGTTCAGCAGGTGATGTTTTTTTTTTTTTGTGTTGGTGGCTGTAGTTCATTGCGATTGACGTGGACCTACATCGCTGGATGATGTGATTGATGATGGATGTACCTTTTTTTTTTTTTTAGTAATGGACTTGTCAAAAACTGTGTTGTGTGTTTATTTTAGTTGACTTTTCTTGGTGAATGAGTAGGGGCACGCTCGTGCTCCCCACTTTCCTGGCATACCAGGCTGCATGCTTTGATAAGAGTCTGGTATGGAATCTGTGGGGGATCTCATACCATTTTTTAAAAAAGATTTTACTGTGACTTCTCCCCCCCCCAATTGATGGGGGGGTGACCTTATGCCAAAAATTAAAAAAAAAATGGATGAGGTCCCCCAAAAAATCCATGCCAGACTTTTATCCGAGCATGCAGGCCTCATGCCTCCTTTTAATTTTGACATGAGGTCCCTCAAAATCTATGCCGGACTCCATGGTCAGATTGTTTGCAAATCAAACAAAACATTAGCCCATATATGCCTGGATTCAGAAATAACACAAGTGAACATATTAAACTACTTTGCGTTGCAGAGCCATGACTACTATTTGCAAATTGCAGTAGTATGTAGCAACCAGTTAGCATTAATGTTTTACAATACTGTCTACAGTGTGCCCAAATATTATGGTTGCTATGGCAAATACACTGTTTAATTAGTGTACTTAAATGTTACTTTTTACAAGTTTTACATTTTGAGATACAGCTGTTTTTTTTGTTTTTTGCTTTTTTTTTAGGATGGGGTGATGATGTGTATGTTCATTCAGAACACTCTGACGAAACTACAGAGGTAGTATGCATTGTTTTTGCCATTGTAATTGGGTTAAATTTTGCCATTGTAATGGTTTCACAGGGTTACAGTAAAAGGGAGTGATCACGATCAGTAAAGAACTATAGTTAGGGGGTAACTAAAGGACAACTCCAGGATATATCATTGAAAAGGACTGCAGGAGGTAAGTGTAATGTGTTTATTATTACTTATCTCTGTGCAGTCCTTTTCAAAATACAACTCTGAAAACCCTGAGTGTGTTGCATAGTGCTGTCATTAACTGACTGTTTCTGGTCCCTGCACATTACTTGAATTAGTTGGCCTCGTAGGCTTCAATTGCCCCTCAGTCTTTACCTTCCATAGTTATTTACGATTATTATACCTGGAATTTTCTTTTTAAAGCAGCAGTCAAGTTCAAAACAGGCTATTGTTATTCCTGATCTTTTGAACACTAGATTGCCCAGGACTTTGTTCGTTCTTTAGTTAACACCAGGCCAATACAGTAAAATTAAAATTCAGTAAATTGCCAAAGCTAGGCAAAACAAATTATACTTCTAAACCTGGCAGGTTTTCTGCCTTGCCAGAGTGAAAGGAGCTGCAATATGTTATATCTCCTAGATTGTAAGCTCCAAGGAGCAGGGCCCTCAATCCCTCTTGTATTGAACTGTATTGTCTCCCGTTATATTGTAAAGCGCTGAGCAAACTGTTGGCGCTATATAAATCCTGTATAATAATAGTAATAATAATTTGGACAAGGAGGTGAGAATGGGTACCATGAATCACATGTGAGCATCAAGACAGATTAAAAAATTTGCATTACCTGATAATCCATCGCAGGAGGTGTCTTTAGTACACTTTCCTCCTCTTTCTCCATTGGTCTAAGCATGAACAGTTACTTTAGGGCCCAGCTGCAGACACTTTGCGTGAAGTCAATTGAATTTGACTACATGTACTCTCTCATGTATCTATGGCCAACCGAAAGCAGTGTTAAACTCATAACAAAAATGTAATATATTGCAGCCTACCAATCATTAGGTAAGGTGGCTGCATTAGTTTTCTTTTGTTAGATTTTTCCCCCCTGCTTTCACCTGTTGATCTGGCCCATAACACAACTTATGTATTAGAATGCGTACACTCTGGATGAAGGAGCAACAGAGAAACATTTGGACATCAGCATTGTCAGTTTGGGGGAAGGGTAGTGTTAGATGGATTAGCAGATTGAAATAAACTAACATTTTGAAGCCAAATTTCAAATTAAAAAAAAAAAACTTTACCAGGGTTCTAACTATTCCTTATTCTACTGAAAACTTAAAGTTTAGAGGTAAGCTTTGATGGAAATGCATCTATGAAAGTTAATTTAGATAAGCTCTCTCAACTATGGAATCTCATTTTATTACAGGTACTTGTATAGCGCCGTCAATTTACGCAGTGCTTTACATATATATATATTGTACATTCACATCAGTCCCAAACCCTCAAGGAGTATACAGTCTGAGGTCCCTAACTCACATTCATACATACAGTGAAGGAAATAAGTACTTGATCCCCTGCTGATTTTGAATGTTTGCGCACTCACAAAGAAATGGTCAGTCTAAAAATCAAATGGTAGGTGTATTGTAACACTGACAGATAGAATAGCAACAAAAAATTCAAAATAAATGCATGTCTAACAAATGATGCACTGATTTGCATGTTCATGTGGGAAATAAGTATTTGATCCCCTATTATTCAGCAGGATTTCTGGCTACCAGGTGTCCTTCATACAGGTAACAAGCTGAGATTAGAAGTAATCTCTTAAAGGGAGTGCTGCTAATCTCATTTTGTTACCTGTATAAAAGACACCTGTCCACAGGAGCAATCGAACAATCAAATTCCAAACTCTCCACCGTGGCAAAGACCAAAGAGCTGTCCAAGGATGTCAGGGACAAGATTGTAGACCTACACAAGGCTGGACCTGGCTACCAAACTATCGCCAAGCAGCTTGTTGAGAAGGTGACAATCATTAGCAAATAGAAGAAACATAAAACAACTGTCAGTCTCCCTATGTCTTGTGCACTATGCAAGATCTCACCTCGTGGAGTGTCAGTGATCATGATAACAGTGAGGAATAATCCCAGAACTACACGTGAGGATCTTGTCAATGATCTCCAGGCAGCTGGGACCACAGTCACCAAGAAAACAATTGGTAACACACTACGCCGACAAGGATTGAAATCCTGCAGTGCCTGCAAGGTCTCTCTGTTTAAGAAAGCACATGTCCAGGCCCGTCTGAAGTATGCCAGTGAACATCTGAATGATGCAGAGGAGGACTGGTTGAAAGTGTTGTGGTCAGATGAGACCAAAATTGAGCTCTTTGGCATCAACTCAACTCGCCGTGTTTGGAGGAGGAGGAATGCTGCCTATGACCCCAAGTACACCATCCCAACTGTCAAACATGGTGGTGGAAACATTCTGCTTTGGGGGTGTTTTTCTGCTAAGGGGACAGGACAACTTTGAACCGTATCAAAGGGACGATGGACGGGGCAATGTACCATCAACTCTTGGGTGAGAACCTTCTTCCCTCAGCCAGGGCATTGAAAATGGGTCATGGATGGGTATTCCAGCATGACAATGACCTAAAACACATGGTCAAGGCAACAAAGGAGTGGCTCAAGAAGAAGCACAGTAAGTTCCTTGCCAGTCTCCAGACCTTAATCCGATTGAAAATCTGTGGAGGGTGCTGAAAGTTGGAGTTGCCAAACGTCAGCCACCAAACCCTAATGACTTGGAGAGGATCTCCCAAGAGGAGTGGGCCAAAATCCCTCCTGAGATGTGTGCAAACCTGGTGGCCAACTACAGGAAATGTCTGAAACTCTGTGATTGTGTGATTGCCAACAAGGGATTTGCCACCAGGTACTAAGTCATGTTTTGTTAAGGGGATCAAATACAGTACTTATTCCCCTCATGAACATGCAAATCAGTGCATAATTTGTTAGACATGCATTTCTTTTGAATGTTGTTGCTAAACTGTCTCTCAGTCTTACAATACACCTACCAATCGATTTTTACTTTGTGAGTAGGAAAACATTCAAAATCAGCAGGGGATCAAATGCTTATTTCCTTCACTGTACCCATACTAGGGCCAATTTATACAGGAACCAATAACCTGCCGGCATGTCTTTGGAATGTGGACGGAAACCGGAGTACCCAGAGGGAAACCCATGCAGGCACAGAGAGAACATGCAAACTCCAAGTGGTGCCGTGGTTGGGATTTGAACCAACGACCCTAATACTGCCAGACGGACAGAAGTGCTAAGTGTGTTGCCCATTTTGATCTATCTTATTTAGTAAAACCTATATACCAGTGGTTCTCAACCTTTCTAATGCCGCGACCCCTTAATACATTTCCTCATGTTGTGGTGACCCCCAACCATAAAATTATTTTCGTTGCTACTTCATAACTGTAAATTTTGCAGTGGGGGAATAGTGCCTCATCATTGGTGTCAGTGGGAGGAATAGTGCCCCATCATTGGTGCCAGTGGTAGGAATAGTGCCCCATCATAGGTGTCAGTGGGGGGAATAGTGCCCCATCATTGGTGTCAGTGGGAGGAATAGTGCCCCATCGTTGGTGTCAGTGGGAGGAATAGTGCCCCATCGTTGGTGTCAGTGGGAGGAATAGTGCCCCATCGTTGGTGTGTCAGTGGGGGGAGGAATAGTGCCCCATCGTTGATGTCAATGGGAGGAATAGTGCCCCATCATAGGTGTCAGTGGGGGGAATAGTGCCCCATCATTGGTGTCAGTGGGGGGAATAGTGCCCCATCATTGGTGTCAGTGGGAGGAATAGTGCCCCATCGTTGGTGTCAGTGGGAGGAATAGTGCCCCATCGTTGGTGTCAGTGGGAGGAATAGTGCCCCATCGTTGGTGTCAGTGGGGGGAATAGTGCCCCATCATTGGTTCTTTCAGTGGGGGGAAATAGTGCCCCATCATTGGTGTCAGTGGGGGGAATAGTGCCCCATCGTTGGTGTCAGTGGGAGGAATAGTGCCCCATCATTGGTGTCAGTGGGGGGGAGGAATAGTGCCCCATCGTTGGTGTCAGTGGGGGGAGGAATAGTGCCCCATCGTTGGTGTCAGTGGGGGGGAGGAATAGTGCCCCATCGTTGGTGTCAATGGGAGGAATAGTGCCCATCATAGGTGTCAGTGGGGGGAAATAGTGCCCCATCATTGTGTCAGTGGGGGGAATAGTGCCCCATCATTGGTGTCAGTGGGGGAAATAGTGCCCCATCATTGGTGTCAGTGGGGGGAATAGTGCCCCATCATTGGTGTCAGTGGGAGGAATAGTGCCCCATCACTGGTGTCAGTGGGAGGAATAGTGTCCCATCACTGGTGTCAGTGGGAGGAAAAGTGCCCCATCATTGGTGTCAGTGGGAGGAATAGTGCCCATCATTGGTGTCAGTGGGGGGAATACGGCCCCATTATTGGTGTCAGTGGGAGGAATAGTGCCCCATCATTGGTGTCAGTGGGAGGAATAGTGCCCCATCATTGGTATCAGTGGGAGGAATAGTGCCCCATCGTTGGTGTCAGTGGGAGGAATAGTGCCCCATCGTTGGCGTCAGGGGGAGCAATAGTGCCCCAACATTGGTGTCAGTGGGAGGAATAGTGCCCCATCGTTGGTATCAGTGGGAGGAATAGTGCCCCATCGTTGGTGTCAGTGGGAGGAATAGTGCCCCATCGTTGGTGTCAGTGGGAGGAATAGTGCCCCCATCGTTGGTGTCAGTGGGGGGAGGAATAGTGCCCCATCATTGGTAATAGTGACACCAATGATTGGGCACTATTCCTCCCACTGACACCAATGATACTTACCTTGCTGACCCCTGACCCGCCTGCCAGCCTGGGCTCGCTCGCTCCCTCCCTCTCCCATGGTACAAACACTTACCGGTCAGATGTCTTCCTTCTCCGGCCGCTTTCCTCCTCTTCACTCGCTCGTGCTTCGCGGTGCCGCTCGGCTCCTCCTTTCCAAGCTCCACCTCCTCGCCGGTGATTGGCCGCCTGTGTGCCTCTCTTGAGCTACAGTTCCTGCGGCCAATCACCGACGAGGAAGGATGGGGGTGTGTCCAGATGACAGGGACGGCATGTCATCCCGCCCACACCTGCAGACGGATCAAGGAGCGGTGTCTCGGTTCCTAAGGCCATCGGAAATATGTGTTTTCCGATGGTCTTAGGCGACCCCTGGGAAAGTGTCGTTCGACCCCCAGGTTGAGAACCGCTGCTATATACTGTTTTTTTTTTTTTTTTTTTTTTTTTTTTTTAAATTCATCTGTCTGACTTTTACATCTAAAATTAGGCAGGGGGTGCGAGTTGTTGTCAGGAAAGTCTACAGTCATACAATATAGACATTTCCAAGCCTGACCAAAGTAAGACTGAGCAGACATTCCCTGATGTCTGTGGGCACCAAAAAAAATTAAAAGAAAGGGATTGCTTACACATGCCATGTGTACACCACCCACCTCCGTCTCACTGCCTTTGCAGCTTAAGGGGTGGGAGTGGAAGATGGTTGAGGAGGACTGTAAAAATCATGTGCCTGATTTTACTAACCCCCCCCCCCCCCCACCACAGGTGTAACAAGGCAAAATGATTACCTTAAACAACACAGCATTCTGCCTTTTCTCTGTACAAATTAGCGATGCTACAATGTTTTATAAAAGTGGTAGGCATACTGATTAGTGGCAGTTAGTCTCTACAATTTGTTTATTTTGTTATAACTAACTGAAGTATTAAGGTATTTACACAAGCTCATTTATGTATTTCAAAGTGGACACTATAAAATAAGGTCCAGTTATTTAGTGTGGGTCTCCTCCCCCTTTTTAAAACTCTGCATCTCATGGCAAAAGAAAAAACCTGTGGGGGGACAAAATAGATAATATGCTCACATATCCCCTGGCTTCTGGCCACAGCACCAAGTAATTCTCTGACGAGAGCCCAGGGAGTTTTGAGTAGCCCAAATCTTGTGAGAACACAATCAAGCACTGTGCTGCAGTATATTCTCATGATATTTTGGTCTACTCAGCATGCCAAGAGATCTTGTCAGCAGGATGATGATATCACCCCCTTCAGTACTAAAACTGGGCAAAAGGTAAATATATTTAACTAACTACCCCCACCCACAGGTTTTATATTGTAGTTTTATACAGCATTTTAAAAAGTGGGAGGCTTCATGACTAAAAGCTGAGCATGGTTAGGATGCAAAGTGAACCTGTTCTTTGTCCATGCAGGACTACACAGCCAGTAAATTTAATGTATCCCCTCTGTGATGGGAGTCACTTTGGGTGGGGGGCCCATGGAATCCAGCTCACTTTGGAGAGGTGGGGAGATCCCTGTCTCAGCTCCCCATATCCCTCTTATGTTTAAATCACCCTGTGCGTGTTAGAGGTACAGGGTGATCTGTCCTAATATTGGGGTGGGGGTTGTTGATTGTTTAATGCCATGGGGCTGCATCCCATTGTTCTATTGTGTGTCTTGCTTGGGAGCCAACTAATATGGGATGTATGTGTTTATGTATATTAGCTTAGTGGGGGGGGGAGTGTCTTCAGCAGCCCTCTCTCCTGATGGGACTGTCTATTGGTGTGAAGTTTGAATACCTGTGTATCTCTTGTTGCTAAGTGTAGATTGTCCAGCTCTGTGTCCTTATGCAGGGAGGGGGGATTTTCCCCTGAGTGTATAAAAAGCCAGTTCGAGTTTCAAATAAAGAGTTCCATGTTCAGACAGACTGGTGCCATCTAGTCTTGTTTGGTCGGCTGTGGTGTCTGTGGTCGGTGTTCGGACGGGGTAAGCGGTATTATGATGGAAGTACCCAAGCGCAGACTGGGTCGGTTCCGGTACACCCTCTGTAGCTGCACATACAGTACTTTCCTTCCTTGCACTCTCTGACTACTGGAAAAGAGAAATACCTGGTATTTCCAGAGGTGGGTAGCCTATTACTCCTTACCCACGTGACAATGCTGAAGGTAAGCTGCTCAATGTTGTTGGTGAGATTGGAAGTTACGTGAACCTGTTTCTTTGTCCTTTACAGGCAAAGCACAAGTTCACTTTAATGCAGAACTCTGGGATATTAAAAAAAAACACCCATTAGTACACCCTATACAAAATAGTTAATACATTTTGTAAAATTTCTTGCTATTGAAAAGTCTAGCTGAATTTTCATGACCTCATCTCTGTAATTTAAAAGATAACAGCATCTGCACTGCCAAGGTGGAGGTGTAACATAAGAGGTTTACATCATATCCTCCCATCTCTCTTTACAGTAAAAGGAAACTACAGTTCTCATCAACCACAGGGAATTGCGTTGAATGTGGGTGGGTACACTAGGCCTGTACATGTCAAATGTGTCTGAGAGTCTCGGTCTGCCCACCTATGAAAGTGGGGTTGAATTATATCACTGCCTCCCGGAGAGAAAGAACTACAGAAGGGATGTGCCAACACCAGTGGCTGGGGGAATAGGAGGCATAGCAGTCTTACAAACAGGAAACCAAAGAGAATTAATGGTTTGATTTGAAAATGAATAGGCTATTTCAGAGCAACTACTGAGTGAACCAGAAGATGGATGACATATTCAGTGCAGGTAGGAAATCCGCAACAAGAACGTATAAAGAAGCTTTAGCCTGGAGTTCTGCTTTAAATTAAATCTGATATACTTGTTTTTGCTTTTTTAGATTGCCACTCATTAGTGTTGCACTAGTTCAAGGAAAAGCATTGGGAGGAGGGGCTGAGTTATGTACAGCATGTGATTTCAGGTATGTTGTCCTGAGTTTCTGATTTTCTGCACATAGTTTTAGTTTAGCTGTGAAAGTAGAATAAAAGGATCTTGTTATTAAAGTATGTGAACTTCCATTGCTGACTTGTTTTAAAGGGGCAAGCTCCAAGGTGGTGGCCCTGATCCTGGCTTCCCTACTTATTAAGACTAAGAGTAAACAACAACAACAGAAAAAATCCAGCTCAAGTTTTTGGCAAGAGCCTGGTGCTGATAGTTCTTGGAGCAGGATTTTCAGCAAAGAGAATAAAATATTTTTACAAACGTTCTGAACTTCTAATGTATTTTTTCATAATATGGCCCTAACATCTAACACTGCTCTCACCCAAAATCTAAAACCTAAAATTGCATCTAACACCAACATTTTTCACTTAATCGTATAGTAGAGGACATAGGGTGGATATTCATAAATTCTGGGCTGCTACCATCAGGTGATTGGGTATTAGCAAAGCTTTGCTAGACGTGCCGTTTGGGTGTATCCCTATAACCTTATTGCACTGTATGAGGCTTCAGCTTTTGCTGCTCATTTTTTTTTTAAAACAATGTTATGTCATACCTACTTACTCTGTGCAATGGTTTTGCACAGAGCAGCCTCAATCTCCTCTTCTCGAGTGCTTCATCGGTGCTCCAAGCCCCTTCCTCCTGTCTAGTGCCCCCATAGCAAGCAGATTGCTATGGTGGCACCCGAGCAGGCTCGCTCCTGAGCCACTGCCCTGTGTGTCCATAAACACACAGACGCAACTTGGCCTCACTCCTGCAGTTCCTCATTGGCTCACTGGCTGTGATTGACCAATAGTGGGAGCCAATAGCTACCACTGCTGTCTCAGTCAATGAGGAGGGAGAGACTCGGGCAAGCCAGCACTGGATCAAGATGAGGCTCAGGTAAGATTGCATGAAGGTAAAACACCTTGAGCCCTTACAACCAGTTTAAGGAGAAATCATTTTACTAATTTATTATTTAACTCCTCACTGTCTTCTACTAAAACAACAGAAGGAGTACATCTAAATCCATGCAACCTCAGTAACAGCTTGGGAACCGTGCCAGGACCCCACTCTGTGGGGCCGGCAGGCAATGTTGCTGTATCTTGGGCATACAGTGAGCTGTGTATCTGACCACGTTAGAGTTTTCTGCAACTATGTCAGAGTTTCTCAGATTAGGCTTTAAAACAGCCATCACATCACAGAGGGATGTGTCTATACTGGTCAACTCTGAATCGATTGCTAAAAAAAACTGAGGTTTCAGAGTGGGGTAGGATTATAGGAGTATGCCCAGAAAAGCTTTGCCAGTGTCCAAACACCCGAAGGTTGCAGCCTATAACCCAGAGTCTGTGAATATCTAGCCAGTGTCCCGTACTGTGCTCCAGGATATGAAATTTACAGGTAAATCGAAATTTGTTTTCTAGAGTGTAGAAGAAACCCTGTCAGGTTTTTACTGCTGTCTGTGTTGCCCCTGGGAAGATTTCCTCTATATGTGATGTTGACCATTGTCACAGGGCAAAAATGAGGGAAAATTCAAAACTTTGAGACAGCAATTTCTAACAGCTGTCTAGATTTCCCTCACTTTATAGAGATTTGCTCTCATTTTTTTGTTATGTCTCCAGGACTGAAAGTAAAGGGAAGTCTTCACAATGGGACTTTGCAAAAAAAAAAAACAGACCTAACATCCAATCTGCTCCATAATATTTAACCTGAACTTAATCCTTAAAATGAAAGTTGATTTAAATATAACTAAAATCCAATGCAAGCTTTAACAGGTTAAATTTAAAAATTGTTTTTAATCTGCAAAAACCTGCAGGATTCAATAATACCTGGTGATCCCACCATGAAGGGGTTCAAGTCCAGGTACTTTGTGTTATAAGTGACAAGTTGTGCTTCTGTGATGTCACTCTGTTGAATGTGCCCCTGGTTGCGACCATAAGCAGCAATGCTGACGCACATTGCTCAGGCATAGTCTATTGTTACTATCGGTAAATCAGTCCGGACCAATGATGTGCAATTTACACTGGAGTGTGTTCAAGTAGACAGGAGAGGCTGGAGAAGATCAGCAACGCTGATGTGCAAAAAAGGATGAATTAGGGTGACAAAATAAAAATGTTTAGGATACTCGGATGTTTAGCAAACTAAATCTCACTCAGTTTAGATTTACTCAGTTTATCACCTAAATTAAACTTTTCCTCTTTTAAAACTGGAAACAATGTCTGCAGCTGTACAGCAGGCACCTCCATTCCCATATCCTTCCTTTAAACCAGTGGTGCTCAAACTGTGGCCTGCGGAGCCCTCTGAAGTTGCCTTCAACCTCAAACCAGGGAAGGGCATGCCCAGGGTTGGCAACCCACTGATTGTAATCTGGGGTTGCTGACCTGCCATTGCACAGCATCAGAGTGCACTGAACCAACACTGGCAGCCACAGAGGGAGCAGGAATTGCATAAGTTGTTTCTTCCTCTGTAGTGTTGGCTCCTGTCCCATACAGAGTGATACCAAATGCACTTCACCTGGGACCTTTCTAGCAGCCTGGAGAGAAATGTCAGCAGAAACTGGAAGAGGAAAAGAAGGCAAGTGTATTAATAATTACACTGCGCTTTTGCAATGGGCATATTTGCACCTGTAAAAAGGGATAATTATTGGGCTGCTTTCACACTGATCCATGGATGCAGCGCAGCGCACCTGCGGGTCAACTGCACCGAGCCATAGACTTGTATTATATCCTGCATGTTTGGTGCGCTATCAGAAAGTGTGCCACACCTGCAAGATATAATAGAAGTCTGTTACAAAATACAGCTACCCTGCAGGAAAGCCGCAGGTGCATTGTGTTGTACCCGTGGTGCAGGTAAACCGCAGTGCATCAGTGTGAAAGCAGACTTAGAAGGACTCAGAACAGTAAGGGCTCATTTGCATTTGTGGATTGATTAGTAAGGTGGTAAAACCCTATTGTTGAGATGTGTTTTTTTTCCACCCCCCCAACAACTGATGTAGCATCAGGGGTTGCAATGGCTACCCTGTCCTGTGCTCCAGGGGCTAGTGCAACCTCCATTCTGTTTTACACTTGGACAGGAGGGGTGGTGGAAGCAGCATATAAAGGAACCGATCCTCTCCATTTTCCTCCTGCAACCAGTGAAATTCGGCTTCTCCTCCTCTCCTTCCTGCCGGCATTCAGCAGCTGCAGGAGGAAAATGTTCATTATGCAATTCAAAATAAAAAAAATTCAATTCTGAACTATTTCATTTCATTGTGGTTTGCAACCGGTTAATAAATCACTTAAGTGGCCCTTGCTGTTCAAAATGTTGAGCACCCTGCTTTGAGCTAAGTGCCTACTAACCCAATATGCTTCTGGAGCCCCTTTCCCAAATATCTATGCTGCAGGGGATGGGGAATAGGGGCTTCAGCAGAACACTGGGTCAATCTAAAGGTACATTGTGGTATTAGAGTTCTTCCATTCTATTTCTAAGTTTTAGAGTATAGAATGATTGCAACTAAAACTATCTGAGATTTTTCTGTCCCCAGTAAGTAAGTAGTACAAGTAATGGGACAACTACCAGAAACAAGGGGAACCCTCACTATTGCCAGATGTCACTTGAAGACCTGGTGTCTCTTCCTGTACTGGTGACAAAGCAAAATGTTGTATTTTCCCTTACATTGTAATCTGAGATTTTTGAACTTTAGGCAACTTTGATAACAATATGATATACAGTATAGTTTTGTGTATTACATGCATTAAAACACTACATTATATTGTAGTACAAGATCATTCATCAGACAATAACACAAAGTTTATATTCTGTTGCAGGTTGATGACTGAAGATAGTGAAATCAGATTTGTCCATAAACATATGGGTTTGGTTCCAGGTTGGGGCGGAGCAACAAGATTGATTCAGCTTATTGGAAGTAGACATGCCCTGAAACTACTCAGCAGTGCTCTCCGTGTTCATCCTAAATACGCACTGAATATTGGTCTTGCTGATGAGATTTTGTCTTCTGGTACAGATGGACCATTGGCAGAAGCCCAAAAATGGATAGCATCCTACACAAAAGGAGCAGCTGATGTGAACAGAGCTGTAAAAAAAGTAGTAGCTTCTGGAAGAGAGAAGTTATTTGAGGATTCTCTGAGGACAGAGAAAGAGATTTTTGGAACAGTGTGGGGTGGGCCTGCCAACATGCAGGCATTGTCAAAAGGAACCAAACACAATGAATGAAGATATTCTTAAGTACTAAACTTACCTTGCAGGGCACCTGTTTTTAAAAAATGAATGTGTGCTGTATGTAGTTTTTCTAGCATTGTGTCTCTGTACACTTTACTGTGATAATTGAAAAATGTTAATCAGATTTGGCCTGTAATTTGTAATAATATTATTAGCTAACGCAAAATAGTCTCTTACAGTAATCAGATTTGTTGCGGGGATGATGATTTATAACATATCTACTAATCAGAAAAAATACTGTAAAGCCCTAATTAATATAGTATTCATCTACTTATTTGGTTGATTAAAGAACAATGCACAAACTGCACTAAGCCATATCAGCTCATTAGAATTCATCTGTCTGTAATATTACAAAATGTTAACCTGTAGTGGAAATAGGCTAAGACAAGCTACAAAATAAGGCTAGTGTTTTATAGAAAACACCAAAAGATGCGTCAGCATACTTTTATTTGGTCACTTCTCCCTTCACCAAGGGCCACTGAAAGTGTTACGAAACCCAGAACCCTGCATTCACAATATTTGGTCCCCCACAGCACATGGAAATGCAATGATTTTAGTAAATATAAACTGCTAAATACCTTTTCTCATCAGCAGTTAGAGAAGTCGTGTAACTTCTATCAGCGTCCAGGAGAGCACTGGTTAAAACTTGTAGGAAAAATTAAATTTTCCTCTGATTGTCCTATGAGGCTGCAGGACCCCTGACTCTCTGTTTGGACAGTGCTGATTGGCCCTGTGCTGAGCACATCCACTCACCCAAGACTATAAAAACTTTCTAGCAATACACACCAAACTGAGTATGTGCAGCTTGCTCCCAGGGCTCTTTTCTATCAGCAAATGGAGTGGGGACAGGAGGATCAGAGAAGACGGAATCAAACAGCCTTTTTATACATTGCAGAGGATTAACCCCTTACGTTCCACAATGAGAATAACAAGCATGCTTTACTGCATATACAGAATGACTTTTACTGTTGTAGTTTTAGTAACACTTGAAGTCACTCAAAACATTAGATAGTGGATTACTAAACTCCACATACTAAGGGCTACTCCAGCTCCCTGAAAATATTAGATGAATGCCTGTACTGGTAGCCATCGCATCACTGGGGAAGGCCGCTTTGCAAGGTATGTTTGCTATAATGTGTAAATACGCTGAGCATACTTGCACAATTTGGTAAAAACTCCAGGGGTCCACAAAATTTGTTAGCCATCATAGTGTACTATGAATTTGAAATAAAACCTAGCACCCATTCTACACTTAAAATATTGAAAAAAAATATATATATATAGTACATCTCTGCAATATGTGCACATTCCCTTTGAACAAGCTGCAAGTAAAAATAAGTGTTGATGTGTCAAATATAGTATGCTTCTACCTTCCTTTCTGACATAGCAACACTGCTTTGAAATCCTAGCATGCCATATCAGCCCTGCCTTTATCACTACTGATGCATTCGGAAGAATGCAGCCTTTTCTGTATCTCCATAGCCTCTCCTTGTGCACAGGTGGGCAGCACAAGACGTTATCAGCTCCAAAGATTTCTGGCAATATCAAAGGTTTTTTTTTTTTTTTACCACTTCTCAAACAGATACTGCATAACAAAACACTTTCCATGGTGTATTCAGCGGACGCAAGGAAGCAAAAAGGATTGGATCATTGCTAAGGTTTACATACAAGAAGACGGCATTTCACATCTTCCATCTGTAGTGTTGTAGCCTCCACTTTCTTCCCCAATCAAGTATGACTCCTAAATAGCTAATAATGTGACATCCGTTTTGCTATAGGTGGCACTCTTTAACTCATATAATTGTAGTTTAGAATAAGAGACACAAATAAAAGGCCAGATAAACCTCACATTTTGTTATGTTAGTTGTGGATATTTATTTTAAAGTATTACTAAACCCAAGGCCCTTCACTCTATCTGGTCTCCCACAGTACACACAACATAAATATAAACTGCTAAATACCTTTTCTCATCAGCAGTTAGAGCAGTCTTGTGACTTCTATCAGTGCCCAGCAGAGCACTTACTAAAGCTTGTAGGAGCTTTCATTCTGCTCTAGGAAGATGCAGGATCCCTGCCCTCTGTCTGGACAGTGCTAATTGGCCTTGTGCTGATCACATGCACCCTACCAACCAAGAAAACAAAAACCTCCCTAGCAATACACACCAAACTGAGCATCTGCAGCACGATTCCACGCGATATGTCTTCTCAGGAGATAAGAGAGGGACACTGGAAGAAGGGGAGGATCAGAGAAGTCAGGATCAAACAGCGTTTTTACACATTACAGATAATTAACCCCTCAGGTTCCACAATGAGTATAACAAGCATGCTTTACTGCATATACAGGCTGATTTTATAGTGGGTTTAGTAACACTCCAAAATCCAGTTTGATTATGGTTACAAAAATGTTATCAAGCACTTGTTTTTTCTTTTATTCCTTGTGACAAAATGAATGATCATTCTGCTGCAAGGCAATTTCTCAGCAAGTCCTTCCATTGTTTATAAAGGGTGAGGAAGTTATTTAAAATGTATGTCTAGCCAAAGTATTTTAATATTTTTTATTGGAGCAGTTAAAGCAGGTCTCCACGTTTTTGTAAGGTTTTAAGTTTCTTTGGACCAGGCTGGCCAACACAAACTATTTACTTCACTAACATTTGCAGTGGCTGGCGGCAGTGTCTGCGCTGTATTCCGGCAGCAGGACATGGACTTCCCATTTTGCTTCTCAAAAAAGCGCTGAGCGCTGCTCAGCCACTCACAGGGAGTTTTGTATTCTATGAATGAATACAAAGCTTTCTCTGATTGGCTGAGGCAGGCCGATGACATGACAATCTCTGAATCAGCTAATTAGAGGAAGCTTTGTATTCAGTTCTACCTGTCCTGCTCCTGAAACACAGCACTGTATACTGTAGTCATATGACGCCCTCCCAGAACAGGCCGGCCACAGTGAAGCCGTCATTCGGCTATCTGCAGTCGGCAAGTGATTAACCTCTTCACGCCAACCGCACACAAATGTGCAGCCTCCCGGCATCCGAGCCTAGATTCTGAGCGGCCGCACATTTGTGTAGAATTAATAAAAACATATGTGCTGAGAGCACACTCCCAGCACACATGTCCGGTACTCACGGAAAGATCCCGATCTCTTTCGATTGGGACCTTTCCCGATCATGTGACCGCCCTGACGGCGAATCATGGTGGTCACATGACCCTAAACCCCCGCCCCACCTCCCGACTTCTGAAACCCTTAAAGGCGCCAAGAGGTTAAGGTAAAAAAAAACCCTTCAGAGTGCAGCTCCCCCCAGGCCCCTTACCGGAGCCTGATCTTGATCCAACAATGTGCACAAGAGCAGCGGCTCTCTCCCTCCTCATTGAGTTACACGCAAGAGCCATTGCTGTCAATCAGAGCCAGTAAGGAGGGAGCAGGGCCAAACCAGGCTCAGGAGTGAGCACGCATGAGTGCCCCCATAGCAAGCTTGTTATGGGGCACTCAATGACTGGGGGTCAGGAATGCCAGCAGGGACCCAAGAGGAGGAGGATTGGGGCTGCTGTATGCAAAACCATTACACAGCAGATAAGTAGAACTAAAGACAAAAACTTTTTTTTTTATGTTAAAACCATTGTAAGGTCATTTCTGCTGTTTGTGTCCCCATTAGAAAAATTCACTTTGTCAGATTGTCCTGATCACCAATGTCATTGGGAATGAGGGCTCATTCACACAACCCCTGGGGGCCATACACTGAGAGCAGGTGTATATTTCTTTGCCAAAACTACAAATGTTTGCATACAGGACCTGTACAAATCAATGACGTGCTATGGCTGTACACTGGTAACCATACATCTGTGCATTTACACATGTACAGGGCTACACTATCTGAGTGTCCCTCTATGCATGTAAACGCTCAAATGTGCAGTCATTGAATTGTATAGGTGGCTTTATGCAAACACTGTCCTTATTGTGAGGAGGATGAGTCCTTATTGTGAGGATAGATCCAAAACTAAGTTTCCACCAGAACATGAAGAGAGGAGAAATTTTCCTGCAACAACTGTCCAAGGTAGGCCATACTACATTTTTTTTTTTCCCCGTTGAATATAAAAAAAAAAAAAAAAAAAAAAAAAATTAATTTACCCCTTCTACACATTCAAGGTGGATGGTGGAATCACTCCCGTGGTGCTATTGTGATCTCAAGACCTGGAGCCTATCCCAAACACAATGATCACTGTAAACGGCGGCAATGATCATTCGGCATGTTTTAAACCCTCCCCTACTCTATGCAAAATTAAACAAAAAAAAAAAAAAAGAAAATTGAAAAAAGGTTTTGCCTTTAAATATTTTTTTTTTTTCCCTTTTAAAACAATGGTTGCATGACCACTCATATGCCCCAAGGACACAATTGGCTTATCTTAGAGTATACAATGATGAATGGACAAAGAAAACCTAGCTTATGCAGGCCATAGATGGGTCAAACATCGGCCGATTTTTCGAAAAAAAAAAAAAACCCTCCGAAAAATCAGTCGTTTGTTCGGCCGACGTTACCACCAACGATAAAAAAAATCGGCTGACTAAATCATAAAGTTCACCCCATAACTTCTGTCCTTTGCAGGTCACGACTCATGCGCAGATTTTTTATCGGTAAAACGATCGGCCAATTTGCCCATCTTTGCCGGGAAAATTGGCCGATCGTCAAAATCAGCCACGAACTTTCCAACATGACCGATAAAAAAACTGGGCCGACCAATTAACCCATTAACAGTGCGAAAATCGGCCGATTTTTTTTTCGACCGAGAAATCGGCCGATTTTCGAACCGTCTATGGCCGGTATTAGTAGTTTTATGTTTCCAAGAATGTCTGGAATAGGGTGTCTGCTGCTGTCCATTGACAAAGTAAAGCTGGCCAATGCACGGATTAAAAATGAGCCTGTTCAACAGTTAAACAGGATGGCATTGGTTTGCGGCAGTCCCTGCTCAACAGAAATCATTTGATGAACTTCTGTCAAAGGGTCATGATGAAAATTTTTCTTGATCAGCGGTTGCAGTCGCTGAGCAGTTCATTCTGACAGTGGCAGGTGCAACAGGTGTGAGTTTGGAGGAAATTAGTTTTTTTCCATCAACCTTGCCGCCTGGAAAAAAAAAAAAAAAAATGAAAACCTTATCAGTTTGTAGTCAGCTTAAAATGGCAAAAAAAATTAAATAAAAATACACAACACAGTAACTGGATTGCAGAAGTCAAAAACATGTTGCTGATAAAATGTAATCTTTATTAAATTACAAATCTTGTAACAAAAAACAAGATGACTTGAAGGAAAATATTCTAAATACAGACTAGACCGCAAAGTCTAAGAAGAGGAAAGGGTGTAAAAATTGTCAACAAAACAATATTAGCTCTTTATACATATGCTGCTGGAAGGTTGATCTAAAATGGAAGCCATTTGCGTATTAGACCACTTTACTTCAAACTTACAAATACATGTCATTAAATAACATTTACTCAGCTCCTGGGCTTTGAAATATGGTTCTTCATTCTTGCAATCAAACTCATGCAGAGTTAATTGACAAAGGTCTGGACGTCAATGAAGAGAGCTTTTAGATGGTGGTTCTCTCTTGTCAATGAAGATGTTAGTTCAGTTACAATGTGACAACGAATTGGAAAACATGCCAAGCTACACAGTGTCAAAGTGAACACCTACAACAATAGTTGTAGAAGAGTTTCTTTTAATTCATATGAATTTAGCATTTATTTGTAGCATATTTAAATGGAATGGCAGCCTGTTACATCCAATTGATGGCTTGAACTGAGTGAGGGGAATTTGAGAGAAGAACGTAACTGTTCTTCAGAAAGAACCAGGAGAAGCAATTACAAAGCTAAACAAACACACTCACACACATACACACGAAAGACAAGTAAAGACAAAGTGTAAGAAGAAACTAAAAGCTTGAGGTGCTGAACAGGTCTGTAGTGTTTAATGTCATCCAACTGCAATGACTACTTACATCATCGGGATGTCATAATAGCCAAAATATATAGATGAACAAAAAAGGAAATTAGAATGCATCTTGAACATAGTTTTGTGTTGAATTGACCAATATATATAATACTTCAAATAATTCAAAAAAATAATAATCTGGAATTCTTATAATCACAAAGAAACAGCCAGAGCACAGATTCCAAGATAAAATAGAATAGCTAGGAATGATGGCGTGGTGATCATGCCAATAGTCCTCAAGAAACAGAAATCACAAGACAACTCAGCTCATCAGAGTCCAAACCTGCTTGTGGGGGACTGATCATGTAGAGCAGGGAAGTCAAACTGGTGGCCCTCCAGCTGTTGCGAAACTACACGTCCCATCATGCCTCTGCCTTTGGGAGTCATGCTTGTAACGGTCAGTTTTGCAATTCCTCATGGGACTTGTAGTTTGGCAACAGCTGGGCGGCCACCAGTTTGACGCCTGTGATTTAGAACATTCAAAAGTCACTTGAGTGATCTAGTGCTTGCCACCTTTTCTTTTCTGGAAGTTCTTGAATAACCATGATTGGATTACTGGGTTATGGTATAGTAAATAACCAGTACTTTAATTCCTCTACTAAAATGAATGGTGGAATCTGGACACGAGACCAACCTACGCGTTTTATAGTTCTCAATTGCTAATAAAACCAGGTAACGAAAAAACATCCATTGGGCAGATTTACGAATGTTTTGGATCTTATGATCCATGCTTTCACAACAGACACGCAGGTATGTATAATGCGCTGAAACTGTGATATACCAAAGTCCTTTTCTATTCCAGAGGGCACAAAATCCTTCCTAACCATGATATACATAAAGATAAGTTGTTGTTCCTTCCTCCTCAAGGTAGTAATGACTGTTTAGACATATTCCCTATGACGCAGTTCTGCTCTGCATCTTCAGTACTGAGTGGAATGGTTAAAGGGGATCTCTCTCAAAGCAAAACACTTGCGTGATTATTTTTTGCTGGAAAGGGCATTTTACAAACTCCCACACCCTAGATCAGTGGTTGTCAACTTTCAAGGTATGGGGGCCTCAACTGTGGCCCTTAACATCACGTGGGCCACACTTTATGTACTGCTAATGAAGATGACTGTCAGAGGCTACAGAAATCCTAGAGCAAATGATGGTCAGAGATGGGGGGGACATACTAGAGGTTTAAATGAGAGACATGCTGCAGAAGACAGAGACTGGAGACATGTCACATGAAGCTAGTAGAGATCCCTGCTAATAACTCTTTAAAAAAATCAATCCCACTCAGACTACAGACTGATGGGAGTCCTTGGACCACAGGTTGGAAACCAGGACACTTGTTGCATGACAGTGACTTAGTTAGCAGGTTTAGTATCACTTTCCTAGGGCCAATACAGGATACATACATTTTGCAATGCTTCCTTCTAACAAAGGCTTATCACAAAGTGTTTTGCTTTGGGACAGAATCCGTTCAAGTTTCAATTCACAACCCCTGCAAAACATTAAACCCATTACATTTATTGAAAAAAAGGGAAAGAGAATTTAATCTCATGTAATAGGTCTTCCAAATGAGTTTACATTTAAACCACAGGGACAGATTATCTGTATTTAAAACTTTCAGTTACTGACCCACATGAAACAAGTGGAGTCAAATTGAGGTTAAAACACCTGATCTCCTTTTTTCTAGGTCAGTGACAAAATATCAAAGCCAAAAGGACAGCCGAAATTAAAATACACAAAAATTAGCACAAAGGACATAACATAGTCCCCTTCCACACGGGGCGAACTCTGCTTTGCTCAGTGGGGGATCTGTCCACTGATCTGCTGATCAGGGCAGAGTGGGCAAATGACAGGTCTTTGTCCGCTCAGTTTATGCAGACACAGACCACACTGCTCTATGGACTGGCAGGTGTACTGTCCTCTGATCTGCCTAGAGGGGACAAATCCCCTTCCGTTTTTTTTTACGAGGACTGCATCAAAGGTTGGCAGGTGTAAACGGACACAAGTCCATGTAAACTCATCAGTCCACAGGGATACATGGACCATCCAATCAGGTCTGCCTGAAAAAACTGACAGACGGTCCTGATCCGATCGCCCGTGTGAAAGGGTCATTACAGTCAAAAGGATGTGTCCTTTGTTTCGACTCCTTTTCTGTAAAGGTGAAATCTTCCTCTCTCCATGCCCACCCCTCCCTGTCCAGTGGGGGGGGGGGGGGTTATGTCACAGGCTGTCATCAAGATTGCCCAACTATGCATGCCCTTTCTGTCCATCTCCTCCATTCACAGAAAGTGTACTATAATTTCTATGAATGAAGCAGGATCTATTAGAGGGGGTTGCCCTTTCAATCATCAGCCTGTTCTCCATTCGTAGAAGTTCAGTTTTCATTCACAGAAGCTTTAGTACGGCTTCTGCAAATGGCAGAATTGGGCAGGTATAGTCAGGGTGTGTGTACCATGGACAGCAAATAATTTCACCTAACAGAAGAGGCAGCAGCACAAGGGACACATCCTTAACTAAGTTATGTCCCTTGTGTTCATTTTTGTAGTTTTTTGGAGCGGGGTATTTAAGCTTCAAAGCCAATGTATCAGCATGAAAGTCAGGCAACTTCCTTCAAAACATTTCTGTGGACAAATCTATATAGTACTCAGGACCAAATCAGTCTAATCGAGGCGCTAGGAAACAACTCCCATTTGAGCACCAGACAGAAGAAACTGGGCACCAACTGCATTTTTGTAAGCGTATTGGTTTTCAAACTACAATTGCTTCAATTGGTTCTCTTCTGAGTGTATCTTTTCTAGATTTATTCAATTACGACAGCAGAGCAAAGAATACTATAAGCAAATGATATTTTTGACTTTTTTGTTTATTCTACTTTTATAAGACCAATGTATAGTGCTATAATCATCAGACAGTAACTTGACAATTAACATTACCTTCTGGATTAGCAGCACTATAAACATATATAAACATATAGGCCAGTTCAGCACTTCAGTTATGCAAATCAGTCTCTTCACTCATCTACTAATAAATAGACCTTCCAGCTTAAAAATAAAACAACTCAAGATATACTTCATGTTAGGGGGTCAGTACTTTTTTATTCAAATAACCAGCTGTCTAGGTCTGAGCTCAATTCTAAATCGGTGACATCTTGCATGGCTTGTTAAAAGCACAGGAACCTCACTTACTTAAACCTCAGTAACTGTGCACTGTCCATCAGGTCTCCTAGACCTCACACTGGCACTCTGTGCACCATTAGCTGCTGCAGCTGCACGATCTGGTGCTTGCTGCGTAGCACCTATAATGACGTGTCTCTGCTGAACAAGAAATGGGTTCTGTTGAAGTGAAAGAATCCCTTGATCACTGCTGTCATCTGATTCAGGTTCATCTACAGTGGTATCAGGAGGTGGCACTCTGCCTCCAAGCTGTGGAAGTCCTTCTTCACCTTCCCCTATGTTATTTCTACCCGTATCATGATCTCCAATCTGAAGTTGGGAAAATGCACTGTCAATTGAAGTGCCATCAGTTTGCGAGTTTGCAAGGGTGGGATTTGCAGTCTGACCACCAAGGGCTGTATGAGGTCTAACAGGTAAAAGAGCAGTAGGCTGGCCTGATGTTGCAATGTTATCTGCACCATCAGCTGAGCTTTCTCGAGCAGGGTTTACATTTGCTGCATCACAGTCTAGTCGAAGCCCAGCAACACCTTTTTTTGGTATGTCCACAATATCCCGTTTCATCTTTCTGCGGCGTCCATGTTCATTTCGACGGTACTGTACCATGTTCTCAAAATCAGCTACATAAAGGAAACCGGCGATCAGCATCTCAGTATTCTTTTTGCCTTTTGTGAAGGCATCTTCCAGCTCTCTGCTCGTCCTCTCATCATATTGCCACCAACCATTTCTTCCCTCATAGTACCAAGCATATTCCCCGTTCCCTCGGCTGGCAGACTTTAGCTCTTCGGGGGAAAGCAAAGTTGGTTTATCCAGGAAGTCCTCAGGGATCTCTTGCCTGCACAATGCACATCGCCTTCCAAGCCACGAGGCACCTTTTACACACAGATAGCAAAATATGTGCTTGCAGGGAAGACTGACTGGGTGAACACAGGTTTGGAGGCAGATAGCACATTCTGGAACTGCAAGGCTTGGGGCACCATTGGAACAAGCTTCTCCTAGCTTCTTATTTGTGGGCAACATATTTGTAGTGTGGCTAACTTCACCACAACCAGCCATCCTGTTAAGATTTAAAAGAGATTATGTCAACAAAGGTTACATTAGGAAAGTAACAATGTTTAATGCATCGCCCTGATATATCAAAATAATATAATTAGATCATGTCAGAAGCACCCCGACAATAGTCTTTTCAGCAGACACATTTTAAAATATTATTATAGTGGTTCAATTAAAGTAAATCTTTTCAGAGAATGTTCTCCTTTCTGCAATTACTGGTTACCTGGCAATTATGCCAAGCTTTTGTCTATAAAACATTGAGTCACAGACCTGTAACTGGTAAGGAAATTAGGAACGTCTCCCTCACCCTCCCCATCAACCACATATGCCCCAAGGCAGACATTTAATCAGCACATCGCCCTTTTCCAAATTCTACATCATACTCTAAGCAGGTTGGTGTGTCAGGTTACTATGCAAGCGGGATGGTCAGGTGGCAATACATGCATAGCTTTTTGCCATAGTCTATAATTGAGAGGCTCCTTGGACCTAAAAGCAACCTAAAACTAAAACAACTCAAATGAGAAAAAAAATAAAAATGTATATATGTACAGGGATGTGCAATTCCTATTGCCCAACGACCGGGACATGTAGTTCCGGGCAGGTAGGTTTATTTTTTTTTTGCCTTTAGCCCTGCTGCAGACAAGCAGCAGGACTCACCTGTCAGGTGGAAGCATTTGGTCAGCAGCGCTGCAGCCCAATTGCTTCCACATGGCCCACAGTGGCAGCCTCTCCCTCCTGCCCACTATAGGTCCCGGGCTCCACTTGCCCATCTGCGGGCCCGAAACTGGTTCAGTGGGTGCCACAGGATGTGGTGGAGGGGAGGGAGGAGAGCAGACACATCAGCTCCCCTCCCCTTCTTGTCCCGACCCGGAAGTGATGTGACGTTACTTCCGGGTCCCCATTTGGCAGATTCCTGGTCATTGAGGCCTGAAATTAATGTAATGCGGTGCAATGTGCACTGCATTACATTTAGTGGGACACAGGGGAGATATCCAGGGTCAGAACCTGTTGCAAAAAAATCACAGAGTGGACTTTTTGTCCCCTATGTGATAAAACAAACAAGAAAAAAAAAAGTTAAGTAAAAAAAAGTTTTTTTTCTAAGTTACACCAAAGCATATAACACCCCCCCCCCCCCCAAAAATTTTTTCAAGGTCCCCCCCGCCCCCACATATGTATGCACGCATAGACATAAAAGCACACACTAGGGCTCCTACACATAATGTCGCCTGCGATACACGTTACATATCGTCATGCACACCAGAATGAGAGCAATAATTCTAGCACCAGAACTCCTCCATAACGCTAAACTGATAACTTAGAAGTGGCTTTAAAAGCGCCGCTGTAGAAAATATAGAGTACTAAACTTTGTTGCCATTTCATGAGTGCACGCAAATTTAAGGTTTGACGTGTTGGATATCTATTTACTCGATGCAACTTTGTCTTTTATATTTTACAAAAAAATTGGATCATTTATTGATTGTTGTGCCCTAAAATTAACTTAAGTGTAAAATTTGTGATAATATTGTGTGACATAAAAAATTGGAACTTGGAAAGTATATAATGTTGGGGGTGTTGTGTCATCTTCAGGCCTTAACTGATCTTTTAAACGTGTGCAAAAAACGTAAAAACAGCTCTGGCAGCGAAATGGATAAAGGATAAGCCGGACACTCCCCCTTTCCTGAGGAGCACCCAATCAGTGCTCATTACACTGCAAGGTCTCACCCAGGTGCGGTGCTGGAGACTGGCAGGGAGGGGAGGAGGAGATTAACAGCACAATGTTAAAAATAATAAATGTTTAAGTCGCCATAGAGCCCCTTTTGTTTTTAAAAGCCCCAGACATTAAAGTAGAGAAAAATAATCATTACCTTAATAACAATTTAAATAGATTTATTCAACTGACACAATAACATTCCAGCATATGTTATTTGCTTAAACAAACATCCATGTTTGATAACTAATTTGGCTAAACAAAATATATATATATTAAGAAACTCAGACTGTCAGCCCCTTCCTCCTCACACTTAGTTTCACTTTCTTCTTGTGCAGATCTATTCCACTCCAAACAATCAGAAAAATATTGTTTCTATTCTATTCACTGAACTTCTTAAAACGTAGCACTGAAGGGGTTGATTCTGTATTCATAGGTTTGTAGAAGTTTAAGATTAAGGTCTTTTTCTTAACTCTGTTCATGTTATAACATTTTTGCTGTGAAGAAGAGGCATGTGATCTCTGCTGAGTCAAATTCAGTTTTGAGAACTGCAAAAGTAAACCAAGCATCTGTGATAATATCTTGTAGGCAGATAAACTGCCCAATAATCTTACAAAAACCTCTGGAAGAGCATGACATTGTGAATGGATTAATGGAATTTATTTACCAAAAAAATTAAACATCCAGCCTTATTCTACATAAATAAAAAACTAATCTTTATTTCATGATGGAATAACCTTTGGTTGGTAATATATATTCCTCAAAAAGCATTTTATTTAAAAAAATCAGATTTAAATAAAAAAAAATCCAATTTAAATAAAAAAATCCAATTTAAATAAAAAAAAAATCCAATTTAAATAAAAAAAATTTGATTTTTAAAATTTTTTTTTAAAAAAAATCATTGATTTTTATCCACCATGGTCTCTACCTGCTTTGCACAAAAGTGAAATTTTTGCCTATTCTTCTTTGCAAAATAGCTCAAGCTCTGTCAGATTGGATGGAGAGTGTCTGTGAACAGTAATTTTCAAACCTTGCCACAGATTCTCAATTGGATTTAGGTCTGGACCTTGACTGGGCCATTCTAACATATAAATTTGCATTGAGCTAAACAGGAGTCACCAAACTACGGCCCTCCATGTGTTGAGGAACTGCAAATCCCATGAGGCCTTGCAAGACTCTGACAGCCACAGGCAAGACTACCAGAGGCATGATGGGACTTGCTGAAAGGTGAACCTCCGCCCCAGTCTCAAGTCTTTTGCAGACTCTCAGGCTAGGTTCACATCTTTGCATTCCTGCGGGCCATGTTTTGCACGGGCATGAGAGCCCATTCATTTGAATGGACTCCCGTGCCCCGGGACATGCAGGGAAGAAATCCCTGCACTTCTTTGGAAATTGCAGCCCGCACGGGAACCCCGGTTCCCAGTACGGTTGCGATTTCCAGTGCGGGCAGTGTGCCATTAGAATTAATGGCAACTGCCCGCAGGTCCGCATTCTTCTGTGCGGGTGGTGTGGTGCGGATTTTTGTGCAGATCCGCAGCGGCGCCACCCGCAAAGATGTGAACCAGCGGTAAACAGGTTTTCTTCTAAGATTGCACTGTATTTGGTTCCATCCATCTTCCTATCAACTCAGCTTCCCTGTCCCTGCTGAAGAAAAGCATCCCCCAACATGATGCTGCCACCAGCATGTTTCACAGTGGGGATGGTGTGTTCAGGGTGATGTGCAGTGTTAGTTTTCTGCCACACATAGCGTTTAGCTTTTAGGTAAAAAAAAAATTAATTTTGGTCTCATCTAACCATAACACCTTCTTCCACATGTTTGCTGTGTCCCCGACATGGCTTCACACAAACTGCAAATGGGACTTCTTATGGCTTCCTTTCAACAATGGCTTTCTTCTTGCCACTCTTCCATTAAGGCCAGATTTTGAGTGCACGACTAATTGTCCTGTGAACAGATTCTCCCACCTGAGCTGTGGATCTCTGCAGCTCCTCCAGAGTTACCATGGGCCTCTTGGCTGCTTCTCTGATTAATGCTCTCCTTGCCCAGCTTGTCAGTTTAGGTGGACGGCCATGTCTTGGTAGGTTTGCAGTTGTGCCATACTCTTTCCATTTTCGAATGATGGATTGAACTGTGCTCTGTGAGATGTTCAAAGCTTGGGATATTTTTTTTTTTATTAACCTAACCCTGCTTTAAACTTCTCCACAACTTTATCCCTGATCTGTCTGGTGTGTCCCTTGGCTTTCATGATGCTGTCTGTTCACTAATGTTCTCTAACAAACATCTGAGGACTTCACAGTACAGCTGTATTTATACTGAGATGAAATTACACACAGCTGGATGCTATTTACTAATTAGATGACTTCTGAAGGCAATTGGTTCCACTAGATTTTAGTTAGGGATATCAGAGTAAAGGGGGCTGAATATAAATGCACGCCAGACTTTTCAGATAATTGTAAAAAAAATAAATAATTGAAAACCATTTATCGTTTTCCTTCCACTTCACGATTATGTGGCACTTTGTGTTGGTTCATTACATAAAAATCCTCAAAAAATACATTCACATTTTTGGTTATAACATGACAAAATGTGGAAAATTTCAAGGGGTATGAATACTTTATCAAGGCACTGTATGTATAGTATAGGTTGTCTCTTCCCACAGTGGGGTCCAGAAACAATAGTGCGCATTTTGCTTTTTTTTTTTATCCTACCTAAATCTCACTGACACTAAGATTAATACAAAAAGAAACGTTTTAATCCTAACCTTTGAAACTAACCCTGGCCATGACCTAGATCAAACTCTGATTTAGCTAAATTTCTTTATTTTTATTATCCTTCACAAAATACAAGGTATCTTTTTCTCCATTCAAGAGGGGGAAGAAAAAAAACAAAACAAAAAAAAAACAAAAAAAACACCCACACATGGACTGGCTGTACATTGAATGATCACTGTGATAGCCAATCAGAGGCTATCACAGTGATCAGGTGATTGTTAGTGGGGGGAAACAGGGAAATGCCCATAGACCAGAAGACATTAATTCCCTGTATATCCACTGCTGCTTTTGCGGACACCATGAGAAAAAGTATTTATTGAAAAGCTGAACAGTAATGTGACTTGTTACAATATTTTAACATTTTACTTTGTTATAAAGTGTTAATAAAATGTACCACAAAAGCAGACGTGAATCAATCTGCAGAGTATGTTTAGACATGTTGCGATTATTGCCACACTTCTGAATAATGATCTATGTGGATTGCTTTTCAGAGGTGTTTGATAGGTGGCAAGGAGGCAACATGTCT